TTTTTTTTTTCTTTTTTATCTTGTATATATATGTATACTTCTTTATGTCTGCGTTTATGTTTTTTTTTTTCCTTATTTTACGGTTTCATTTAACAAAATAAATAAATATATAGGCATTTCTACAGAAGAATAGAGAAAAGGAAAAAAAAAAAAGGGATGGAAGAGATCTCAGGAATACTTCACAGAGATGAGAGAAGAGTTCATCCACACACAGACGCAGCCCATCAAGAGAAGTTGGCAGCCGCAGCCCGTTATGTATATATGCAGCAACTTCGAGATTTCTTTAATTATTATGATCCCACTCGCAGTGATGCGTCTATTCTGGCGGATCTCAACAAGGCACAAGAAACCCCGCAGGGTTTATCTATTTTATGGAAAGATCTCATTTCACAGTATGGACCAGCACCAGTGCGGCGAAGGACTCAAGGAACACTACAGCAGTTATTATCCATTTCCTCCAGTGAAAAAAAGGTATGGAAGGCCTCTAATAGGAAGGATGATAATAATACAGTAAAGCATCAAGAATTGAGAAGGATTTTCGGGATAAATAATACTCCAAATAATGGAAACGATCATAATCATCATACTACTACTATTATTAATAGTGAGAAGAAGAAACCAGAGAAACACCTTATTGCTATGCAGATTACTGGTATGAATGATGCCCTTTTTGGAGCAGCAACACCATTACGACAACAGGCCTTCTGTCGAGCGATTGCATCTCAAATGTCTTTATGGACTGACTCTCATTCATCAACTTTTCAGGTGGAAATGAAAATGGATTGTGTTGCCGTAGTGAGAGTCGTCATTGCGAATAAAGCAGCAGCAGATGGATCTAATAATAATAATAATAATAATAATAATAATAATAATAATAATAATAAAGAGGCTCTTATCATTATAACTTCTCTTGAACGGACTATACGGTCTGGTAAGGCATCTTTACAATTGATTAAAAATAGTTATCAGAGAGATTTAAAAGGTGGTAATGTGATCATGTCCATCACAACAGCTCAAGTTCCACAAGATGCCTTTAGTGAAATATCTCATCATGAAGGTTATTTCAATGATAATGAAGATGATATCCTTAATGAAAATAATAATAATAATAATAATAATAATAATAATAATAATAAGGAGAGTTATCGTGAAATCGTTCATAGTTCTCAGAAGTGTAGTTCTGAGTTTTCATTAAATGAATCTTCTTTTACATCATCACCGCCGCCTTCTTTCTTTTATCGCGGCACACCCGTTATCTCCAGAAATAACAACACCTTACAGTCTTCTTTAAGTCTTTCACAGTGTACGAATCGAGTCGAAGAAAACGAATCTCAACAAGAAGAGAAAGAGAAGAAGTTACAGCAGAAGAGTAAAGACTATGGTTCCACTCTGGAAAAAAGGAAAACAACATCTTTACTTTCCATCATGGAAGATGTGTATAAGTATGAAAGTGTTCCCACATCACAATTGGTTAAATCTTCCTCTAGTGTACATCGTCCTTCATTTTCTTTTGCTCCTCCTGAGCAGCATGTATGGAATAGTGTTAAGGAGAAGCCCAGTCGAAGTAATTCATATGAGATACGATCACTCTGTGATATTCCTTGGCAAACATGAAAGAGAGAAAAAAAGTAGATTTCTACCTTTTAGGTTTATCGTTATATATATATATATATATATATATATATATATATATATATATTAGTGTGAAAAAGTATAATATTTTCTTTTTTTAGTTACATACTTTTATTTTTTGTATCGGTTATTTTTTTCTCTTAATATAATTAAGTTTTTTATTTTTTTTTTTTTTTTTGTACATTTTTTAAAAATTATTTTCTTCTTTTATAAAACCCCATTAATGACGTTTATTGCTTTCTTTCCATTCTTCGTAAATGGAAGAGAAAGAGAAAGAGAGAGAGAGTATTTACACTTTACTTTATTGTTAATGATATTCACTACGTTTTTTTTTTTCTTTTTCTATTTCTTCTTACACTCTATCTTGTGAAAACCCAAATGTAAATAATAAAAAAAAAAAAGAAAGGTGTGCCCCTTTAGCCTTTACTCTAACACACGCCAATCATCATTATAAAATAATAATAATAATAATAATAATAATAATAATGGATTACACGATTCCGGAGCTGCTGCTGCTATTGCCCACTGTTGCGATTGATGAGCAGTATGTGCAAAATAATTCTCTCACACTTTCTGTAACCGATGCGGTGGCTGCTGCTGAAGCCTATTACAAACTTATTAATGAATATCTACAGCAGCGAGAAGAGGAACTGAATCTCGAAAAAGATATTCTTCCTGCAGTGGAATTCGCACTTCGTCTCTTTAATGCGGAGAATTTCAGTGGAGAGTTGGTGCCGACGGAGCGTGAACAGTTGGCGTCTGTACTGGAGCGGTATACAATGAAGGATGAACTGCATGAACGGTATGTGCAGCGACTACTCATGAGTGATGGGGAAATGCCGCATCCATGTATGCGATTGGGTGGACTTTTACTAACGCTTCTGGCAATTGTAAATAGCACCAAAAAGGATACAAGTACTACTACTAATAATAATAATAATAATAATAATAATAATAATAATAATAATAATAATAATAATAATAATAATGAGAATGAGAAGGAAAAGAGTGTATCTTGGTTGGTACCATATGATTGTATTTGGCGTTTACGTGTTCACATGCGGCATCAACGTGTACTGCAGCACCGTGCACACTCCATCTATCAACATCTCACTCACTGTGTAGATGCCACACTGGCACTACCAGAGTCTCAACTCACTGTGGAACAATTACTGGAGGTTGGACATGTTCATAACTACTATCACCGTCGTGATCTCGCAGCAGAAATCTTCTGGCGGGCCGCACGAAAGACGGGTCTCTCTGTGCAAGAAGATGCTATGCTTGGTGTACGCACTCGCTGGCAACAACATCAAATTGTTCAAATGGTACTAAATGCCCGTAGTGCCACTCCTTTTACTGCTCCTACTACTATGTCTACTACTACTACTACTACTACTACTACTAATAGTAATGGTGATAATGAGAAGGAATCCGTTGTGGATACTCCACGTGTGTGTATGGGTGAGATTGATGGACATGATCTTTTTGATCGTCCCCGTCCTACTGCTGACACACCAGCACCAACACTTGAGCCACTCCATCCACTCGATAAAGCCATTCTACTCGCACTCTGTGTAGATATCCGCAATACCAATCCACATCATGGTCTCACACAACATCATATGCAGACATATGTGGAGCGACTGCTCGCTGATCCAGCACAGGCTCCATTTATGATTCAGTGTCAGTCATTACTGTTAAGATGTCGGTTAGAGCGGCGACGTAATCGTGTTCAGGAACGTGCATTCATGCAACTCACAGAACTTGTGGATCAACACGCAGCGGGGCGTGACCCAACACGAGCGACATTTCACCGTACGGCCGGATCTTATATCTACGTTGTGGCCTATCCTACCATTTGGGAACTGCGTAGTGAGTTTGCTGGTGTGTGTTATGACAACAATCTATACAAGACGGCCCTTGATGCCTATGAGCGTGTGCAGGACTGGCCGCGTATTATTGATTGCTGTAAAGTATTGGACAAGCGACGACGTGCGGAGTCTTTGGCGCGTGAGTTGCTCGTCTCGGATCCCTGCAATCCACTACTTTGGGTGGCCCTTGGTGAGGCCACGCGGGATGCGGATGCGCTTTGGCATGCGTTTGAGTTGTCCCATCGAGCCTCCGCGGCGCCGCTGCGGGCCCTGGCGCGATTGGCACTGGAGCGGGAGGCGTATGAAGACGTCGTCTCCCACTTTGATGCGGCGCTGCGGCTGAACCCCGTCTTTGGCGGCGATTGGTTCACCCTCGGCTACGCGGCGATGCGGCTGGAGATGTGGCAGCGCAGCGGCGAGGCCTTCACGCGGGTCTGTCAAATGCAGCCGGAGGATGCGTACGCGTGGAATAATTTAGCGTCTGTCCTGCTGCGCGGTGGATCCCTGCGGCCGGCGTTTAATGCGATGAGTCAGGCGCTGCACAACAACCGACGTGATTGGCGAATGTGGCAGAATTACTTTTCGATTGGATGTGAGTTGAAGGAGGTGACGGAGACCACACATGCCTTGAATGTCTTGTTGGATATTGCCAAGCGGAATACACGACTGGAGCGCGCCTCACTGAATCGCTTTGTCGATAATGCTATTGCCTACATGGAGGGAAAAATACCCGCCAGCCGTGCAGGATTAGAAGAAGAGGAAGAAGAAAAGAAAAAGAAAGAAGAGAATGATGATGATGCTGCTGCGATGATGCCCACACACACCTCCGTTGCCCTCACAGATAATATGGATGAGGAGGAATTGGAGATGTTGGAGAAAATGGATGCTTTGGTTCCTTTTGGTAGTGATGTGGAGATGCCAGAGTCTTTCTTTGCATCTAAAGATGTAAACAGTGAAGAAACGGCACGTGTAAAGGCAGGAATTGTGGAACGATATAAACAACGAATGCGTGAGACCTTTCGACACATTACAGATCTCTTTGTAACAGATCCAGATATTTACGCCTGTGGGGCTAAACTACATCGATACATGGATGGACCATTCGCTGGGTATGAAATGCGATTAAAGGAATTACGTTGTTGTCAACAAAAAGATCAATGGGAACGAGACGCAACACGCTTTGCACGTACATGTGAATGTCTGCACAGTATGGTAGAAGATGTCATGGCCGCCTTTCACGATGTAAACTCAACTACTAGCTCAGATGCTACTTCTACTACTACTACTACTACTACTACTACTACTACTAATGAGAATGCATCCCAGCAGGAAGTTGCGGAGGTAACGCTGGCAGAAAAGCAGAAACGCATCATTGTGGCTCTGCACGACACGTTAAATAATATCACAGCAGTTGTGGATGCAGCGGAGGAACACATGAGTGAATCCGACGAATATAAACAACTGAAGAAAGTATTGTTACCTCAAGTACGGGAAGGGCTGCGTAACGCCAAGTTGGCGTTTCATTCAGACTAGAGAAGATATATATATATATATATATATATATATATATATATATATAGTCTCTCTGACATCATTCTTACTATCACAATATCCATATTATTGAACTAAAAGTGAAAGAAAGAGAAATTTGAAAACCGAGCAAAAGAATGAAAGATGATGAGAAAATAATTAAAAAAAAATAAAAAAAAGAAAAACTATTATAATTTATTGTACTAACGACTAATATTACAAGAAAGGCTGCATAAGTGCAGTTTGTTTTTTCTTTGTTCTACATATATATTTATGTGTTTTGTTGTGTGCCTTCACTATATATAACAATGTACACTTCCTCATAACAAGGATAATACATTAAGAAAAAAATAAAAATGTGATATTTCTTTTTTTTTTTATTTTTCTTGTAATGATTAACCTTCGATTAAACTTTTTTCCTCTTTTCTTTTTTCTCGAGTTCTCTATATCTGAGGCGTTCAAGAAGAGAAGAATAGAGAAAGAGAGAGTCAGTGAGGCTCTTACACCTAATCTCTCTCTCTCTCTCTCAGTATATACAATAATAATAATGCGTGCTCTTTTATCCCCATTCAAACACAACAAAGATTCGGTGAAGAATGGCCATCAGCGGGAGAACCCAACAACAACAGGAATAGTCAACACAACGACTTCTTCTCCTTCTTCTTTACCATTGGATACTATTAACGATACAAAAGAGGCAGTCCAAGTTGAACGCTTTAAGGAAACTATGCAGAAAGAAATAGATGAGCTGCAGAAAGAGATAATGGTTCGCAGTGAAGTGGCTGTACAATTGGCTGAAAAAGTCATCACACTTCGTTGTCAGTTGCAACGTCGTGAAGTTGAGTTAAATACACTGAAAAGAACAGGAACAACAGACTTGGAAACTACTATGGCTGTTCATACTGGTAATGATATTTCTGATAGTCCATCTGGTAAGGCCTCCACTGGCAGTACACATTCCGCAGGAGAAGAGAAGAATGGGAATTATGACAGGCGGGATTCAAACATAACTGGACCGTCTGAAGTAATGGAGTCTCATGTAAACAATCATAATAATAATAGTCATAGTAGTAATAATAATAATAATAATCATAGTAATAACTTGGAGTTGAGTGAAAGACTAGTAGAAATGGAGACCCAAGTGGGAGTGTGGAAGCAGCGTGTGAAAGAGGCGTTAAAGAGCAGTCAAGGGAGGGAACGTTCTCTTCTCGCTGAGAATATCGCATTAAATAAAAAATTACAGGAACTTCAGGGAAAATTAAATGAGGCGGCATTTCAAATGGAGGCTTCCGCCCTGCGAAGTGCACGACATGGTTTAAAAATAAATTCTACCAGTCAAACAGAAGTTACGATTCACCCTAGTGATAACGACAATGATGATGATGATGATAATAATAATAATAATAGTGAAAATAATGATGACAATGACATCAACATAAAAACAAAAAGTAATAGTATTAGCAACAGGAGCAGTTATAATAACCGAAAACGTTATTATCAAAGTCATTCAATACCAATCATATCTCCAGCACGTGTAGATTCCACAGAAAGTAAGCAAACAATGGAATCTACACTTGAGATGAGTAGTAGTGGTGGTCTACTTACTAGCCCTCCATTATTTCCTTATCCATTACAGCCATTTCAGGGAAATCATCAAAATCTTTTTAGTCCAGTAGAAGTCTCTTCATGTGATCCCGCTATTCGTACAGTAGTACCACCATTTATTGTTGCTGTTCATTACAATAATGATAATGGTTGGAGTGTGCAGACAAAAGTACGTGTGGAGCCTGGAATGACAGTCATTCAATTGAAAGAGTATTGTTGTGTACAATTTCAAGAGCGACATCAACTGCAGTTAGACCATAATAAATTATGTGTTCGTTATTATCATGAAAGAGCAAAAAGACATGTGGTTCTTTCCCCTTATCGTGAACTACACTCCTTTGCTCATTTTCAGCATTGTGAACGTGAGAAACTTCCTATAGTGTTGTTTCTCATTCCAGAAGATAATTTATCTAAACTTGTGTACGATACAATGAACAATACAAAAATTTCACCCATCGTAACTCCTCATAATCAGAATGAGTGACTTGTAATAATGTATTATATATTTATTATTATTTGTTTTTTTTTTTTTCTATTTAGTTTTTCAGTTATTTACTTTTATTATTTTATTTTATTTTTTTTTTCTCCTATTTTATTTTATTGCTTTTATCTATGATAGTTAAAAGTCTTATTTTTAATATTGTCTATGGATCTTTTCTTTCTATGTGTAAAGTTACAATGTTGGATAAAAAAGCATTTTTGTAAGTATTACTACTATATACTCTACGTATGATTTCTTTCTCTTTTCTTCTCTTCTCTTTCCTATTGTTATTTCTATATATATATATTCTCTGATAATAGTTCCAGTACACATCCTCATAAGGAGGGAGGGCAGTCGGATAAATAACAAGACATTAACAAACGAGAAAACCAAATAAGAAGTAAGTGACTAGCAGTTCTCACTCACATAAACAATAATAAGAATACATATTCATACAGAAACATTAAAGGATAAGAGTACATACAAAAAAGAAAAGGAAAAAAAGAAAAAAAAGAGAAGAGTACAAGAAAAATAAAATAAAATAAATAAAAAAGTCCATCCGCCGTATCGAAGGATAGTTTAAAAAAAAAAAAAAAGAGGAATTCATGTCTTCATCTGCATCTGTCGTCTCTACAGCCCACAGTGCTAGAGGAGGAAGTGGTGGAGGTGTGACCATTAAGCGAAAAGTGGATGATCGCATTCGAAATCTTATTGAAAATGCCGTTCACAAGAAACACCGTGCGTTAATTCTTCTTGTTGGTGATCGCGGTAAAGACCAGATTGTAAATCTCCATCAAATGGTATCTCATGCAAACCATAATGCCAAAGTAAATATGCTCTGGTGTATGAAGAAAGATCCGGATTTTGGTTCTACTAGTAAGAAACAACAGGAGAAACGTGCCCGACTTGAGGTAAAGGGTGGTATGTCTACAGAAACAACAAAAGAGGCATTTCAAACATTCCTCTCACAAACACAAATTCGTTTCTGTCAATATAAAGAAACACATAAAGTACTTGGACAAACCTTTGGAATGGCTGTATTACAGGACTTTGAGGCTATTACACCTAATACACTTGCTCGAACGATTGAGACTGTAAAAGGAGGTGGTGTGGTGGTTATTATGTTTCGTGCTATGCGTTCATTAAAGCAATTATATACTATTGCGATGGATGTACATTCACGTTATCGTACAGAAGCGTTACGTGATGTTGTTCCTCGCTTTAATGAACGTTTTCTTCTTTCTCTTGTAGACTGTGATACGGCTCTTTGTGTGGATGATGATTTGAATGTACTTCCCATCACTGCCAAGATGCGTGCGGTGGAGAGTATGCGTACATCTAATAAGAGTAATTATGATGCGGATTTGGCCTTACAAGGAAGACAGAAACATGAAGCGGATTTGGCGGCATTAAAAGAACGATTACGTGCAAGTAATGAAGTAGGACCACTTGTTTCTCTTTGTCAAACACTGGATCAAGGAAAAACAGTTCTTTCACTTATGCAAACAGTGGTGGAAAAGTCTTTAAATACCACTTGTGTGGTGACGGCGGGTCGTGGTCGGGGTAAATCCGCGGCTCTTGGACTTGCCGCTGCCGGTGCATTGGCACAGGGATACAGTAATATATTCTGCACAGCCCCATCGCCTGAGAACTTGCAGACATTTTTTGAATTTGTCGTTCGTGGTTTACAGGAACAGGGATATAAAGAACGTACAGACTTTGAGGCTATGCAGAGTACAAATGTGGAATTCAGTAAATGTATTGTACGAATTAATTTATTTCGTGAACATCGTCAAACCGTACAGTATATTTCTCCACATGATGCGGATAAATTTGCTCAAGCTGAATTGGCTATTATTGATGAAGCCGCCGCTTTACCATTACCATTGGTAAAACAAATGTTGGGTCCTTATCTTGTTTTTCTCTCATCTACAGTATCTGGTTATGAAGGTACAGGACGCAGTCTTTCTATGAAACTTATTGCGGATATGCGTAAACAATCTGGAAGTATTGTTGGGGGTTCTTCTTCTACTTCTACAGCTGTAAGTACATCTGATGATCGTCGTTTTCTTCGTGAAATTACAATGACTGATCCTATTCGATATGGTCCAAATGATCCTGTGGAATCATGGCTGCATAAGTTACTTTGTTTAGATGCAACGGTGCGTCCATTAACGGTAAAATCATGTCCACATCCTAATAAGTGTGAACTTTACTATGTTAACCGTGATGCCCTTTTCTCCTATCATCCATTGGCAGAACAATTACTGCAAACTGTTGTGGCTATGTTGGTTGCGGCACATTATAAAAATCAACCAAATGATTTACAATTAATGTCAGATGCACCAGGACATCACTTATTTCTTCTTTGTTCCTCAACAGTGGAAACGAATGGTGAACTTCCAGATGTTTTTTGTGTTATTCATGCCTGTGAAGAGGGTCAAGTAACATCTGAATCCATTAAGAGTAATCTCAGTCGTGGAGTTCGTCCTTCAGGTGATCTTATTCCCTACACCTTATCTCAATACTACCTTGAAGAAGGATTTGCTAAATTGGCAGGACTTCGTATTGTACGTATTGCGACAAATCCAGAATTACAACGTGCTGGTTATGGTTCTCGTGCGCTTGAGTTATTACAGCAATATTACACAGGTTCCATCTCACTCCAACCCGCATCATCGGAATCTTTAAAAACGAAAGAAGAAACTGAAAATAATAATAATGATAATGATGATAATGATGATACAAACAGTACCAGTAATGTCATTACCCCTCGTAAACGTATTCCAAGTCTTCTTACTTCACTTGTTGAACGACCATATGAAGTTATTGATTATCTCGGTGTAAGTTTTGGTGTAACGACCCCATTATTTAATTTTTGGAAACGTGCTGGTTATGAAGCTTTATATTTGCGTCATGCTGCCAATGAACTCACTGGAGAACATAGTTGTGTGATGGTACGTCCTATTGGATTTGATCTTTCTTTACTACGTGCTGAATTTCATCAACGTTTTATTCCATTACTTTCTATGCCTTTTCGTGATCTCCCTACGGAATTGGCATTAAGTATATTGAATGATCTTGATGTGAATGACCCGCAAAAATTAGCGGCTGCTACGGATCACTCTCAATCTTCTGAACATATTGTACGTGTGGGTGGTCGTCTGCAGTGTACATTGCGAGAACTTCAACTCATATTTAATCAAAATGATATGAAACGTCTGCGGCTTAATGCGACGACATTTGTGGAGGGCGGTTTAGTGCTGGATTTACTTCCCGCACTGGCGAAGTTGTACTTTGAGGCGCGGCTCCACCGTTTACCGGATGGATCGGAGGGCGTTGTGCTCACACACGCACAGGCCGCCGTGCTGCTCGCCGTGGGTCTGCAGTGCCAAACAATTGAAGAATTGTCTCGACAGTCCGCCTTTGCGGGGGTGCCGCTGCAACAACTGCGGGCATTTCTGCAGAAGGCCGTTGCCCGCATTGTGGAGCACTTCACACGGTTGGAGAAGTTAAAAACTCCTCAAGAGGCGAATGGACATTCATCGGTGAAGAATGGAGAAGAAGGAGAAGAAGAGGATGGGGAACAGGAACAGACACGTGAGATTTACGATAAGGATGGACACGTGGTGGGACTTTCCGTTGAAAAGAAAGTTCAACGTGTGGTGAATGTGGACACGACACTCCTGCGAGATGCCAAGACCGCAGCGATTGGAACAAGTAAGAGTGAGAGTGGAACTACTGGTATACAACGGGCGTTTAAGCGTTCAAAGAAGACTCGTCGTAGTTAAGAATAGACTCATCCACTCATCCCTCCTGCGTGCGGTCTTTATATCTATATACATATATATCTGTTTGTGTGCAATAGTAATACAAAAAAAAAAAAAAAAAAACAGAAAGAAGATGCAGTATCATTGAAGAGATAGGAAATGAGAATGAGAAGAAAGATAAAAATGTGAAGGGAAGATTAAGAGAAAGAAAAAAGAAAAGAAAAGAAAAGAAAAAAAACAATATTAACCGTTTAAGTTTGTGTATATCTGCTAATGAATTTTAATAGATTTCGCATAGCATTTATGTATAGAAAAAGCCTTTTTTTTGTTTGAATATTCCTGTAAAAATAGGTTAAGTGAAATGTATTGCTCTTTTTGGTTCCCTTCTTTTTTTTTCGTTTTATTTTTTTTTCATATAGTTAAGAAGTTTCTCTTTCATCGCAATTGATTCTTTTTTTTTTATTATTATCTTGATTCATTTTTGCGATTTGTATCACCACCGCAGATATATATACACATATATATATACAGACGTATATATATATACATTTAATCTTGTGTAATCCATTTTTATTATAGGTTTGAAAAGGTTCTGTAGAATGACGATTGGTTCCCTTCCCTTTCTTATCCTCAACTATGGAGCTGAGTTGATTTTCATCCTTCACACACGTCTTATTGCGCAGAAGGTAAATAGTGAGGCAGCACGAATTGTAATGAATGATGTTGTAGGGCACATGTTCAGTTCAGAGTTTATAGATGAACTTCTCCGCCCACAGCCCCTTCACTCATTAGCAGAAACGAAGGAAGTATTCATCTCACTTACACAGACATCTGTAATGCGACTCTCAGCAGTGTCTATGAAGAAACTTTTTGATCTCATGACAACAGGAGTGAAATATCAGTTATTCACACTACGTCATCCACTGGAGTTATTAGAACTTACGTGGACACACTTAGAAGAGGTACAACGAATTATTACACCAGAATCTCAAATGTATGTAAGGCCAGTACTTGTACGCCTTAAACATCTCTGTTCTAATCTTAATATTGGTGATTTAGCAGAGATTCGAAAAGAATTATTAAATTTCTTTGTTGGTCGCAGTGTTCCTGTATCTGTGTTACTGGATGATGGACTCCAAACATCCTCCGGTTCTTTTTTTCTTCCAGAAGATCGTTTTCTCCCCCCACTCGCCGTCTGTGAACCCCCAGGAACTATTCGTTATTTTAATAATGGGACTCTCATCTCCTCTGAAGTCTTCACACATCACCGCGATGCCAATCTTCGCTATCCGTTAACAATTCCTCCAGGCACGTGGGATCCAATGAATCCAGTGACTCGAGTATCCAAGAATGGGATGAATATGTATACAGCATACCGTGGGTCCCCAGATAATCAATCCACTAATCAACCTCCATCATCATCATCTAATCAATCAGAGAGGATGAATGCCGTGACAGGGGAATTAAACTATTTATCGCAGCTTATAAGAGGTAATCAAAAAACTACACAAGAGACATTTAAATTAAGTCTTTTTGATGATGGGGATGAGGATGATTATGATGATGATAATAATGGTAATGAGAAGGATGGGAAAAATACGAAACATATGGCTCTTGATGATGGAGTTAAACCAAAAGGAGAGTCTATTCATACATCTGCAGCCTTTTCAAATCATACAAAGAAGGAAGAGACACAAACAGATAATACAGATCTTATGCGTATTGTAGAAGGATTTCGTATAGATAAGACAGTGGCGAAGCCAACTGGGGGAAACTCTGATCTTCTAGATATTATGGATGAAGACTGATATA